TCTTTTATAAGAAAACTAATATTTTATATCTTTCATGTGACAGTAGGCACCAGACAAGTAGCTTTGCAATCTGTTATTGCATTTATTCTTTTAATTTTAACAATGATTAGACATAATCTTTAAACTATGAAAGTTTCCTAGAGGGTCAAATGGTTTCAAATTAAATCATATCTGGTAATTGTCGGAACTATAATCAGATCCCAGCTATGACTAAGTGAACAGAAAATATGTGTCTATCAAAGAAAGATGGTTGGATGAATGAAGTAGATAAGGACTGGTCACATGACCTGTCTTGTTAACCCTTTTTTAATTATAAAAATGGAAGCTTCAGTTACATAAGTTTTAACCTTCTATGTTACATTGAAAGCTTTTTTTCATGACATTTAGGTGTGGAAAGAATATTTTCAGTGCATACCAGTTTTAATTAAAAGCTTGCTGTGAAGGTTTTTGTACCTCAAAGGTCGTCACTTGAGAAAGGTAGTGCACTGTCACCTGCTTCTGTTGGTTGCATCTTAGTTCTCCACTTCTGGTAAATCTTTAGGAAGCTACTTGTTCTGGAGTAAAAACGCGGTGTACTAAGTTTACTCTGGCTGGGGGTAGCTGAGGCCGCACCAGCCATGACCATGGCATTCTTCATTATTCTTATAGATGGCCTGGAACAGAATAATGCAAATTAGCAGTTATTTTAGGATAAGAGAAAGGCTAAGTGGAAAGCTATTGATTTTTGGCTTTAGAATCATGGGTGCTCTCCCTTCTTATGGACATGTCCAGAGTGTTCTCTGTTAAGTCTCACCTAGTTCCCCCCACAACCACTTTCTAGTTTATTCTAATGACCACTCCATGGTTTGTAAAATTTGATTTCTTGCACAAGTCCTTAGTTCAGTGATATCACACTAAGTGTTTTCTATGCTCTGAACTAATAGTTATAATTTAACTAGTCATGGTTATATTTTTACTCACCATGAAAACCTGTGAATAAAGAATTTGACTTTGATATTAAGAATATAGGCATAGAATTTGGTTGAAAACATAAAAAAATAGAAATAGAATAGGGTCAAATGGTTTTCAAATTAAATACATTTGGTAATTGTCAGAACTAAATAATCAGATCCAGCTATGACTAAGTGAAAATAGAAATATGTGTCTATCAAGAAAGGTGGTTGTGAATGATGAGTAGATAAGGACTATGTTTCACATGAACCTGTGTGAAACAGAGCAAAGAAAGTTATCTAACCATGGTCATTTACCATTTATCAATACTAGAGCCTTCCAAGATATATAGGAAGCTGGGTGTGGTGATAACCCTGCTACTCAGGAGGTAGAGATTCAGGAGGAGGCTCAGTTTAGGCCAAACCAGGATAAAAAATAAATAGACCCCCATCTCAACAATTAAAACTGGGTGTGGGGTAACAGTTTACAGTGAGATTAAGGTAGGAGGGTTGTAATCTGATGCTGGGCCTAGCATAACATGTGAGACCATATTCTGAAAGATGATAGAATTTTAAAAGGGCTAGGGTTATGGTTCAAATGGTAGAGTTCAGCCTAATGTAAGCAATGTGATCCTGAAGTTTCAAACTGCAGTATGTACGCAACTCCCCTAAAGGTAGAGTTAATCCTGACCTTTAATAATTATAGATAATTGGTTTTCCTCTTTTTGTGAGTGTGTAAATCCAGAGCCGACCTTTACATCACTTCATGTATCAATTGATGAGGTTTTTTCCCAAAATATTTCTTTCTATAGAGATGCAATTGGCAATTGCTCACTTTCAACTAATTTCCTCTGTACAACATCAATGTGTAAGATATCCTTCTGTCTTTTTTCCAGGATTTGTAAAACAGTTTTCTATTTTTTTAATATTTAAACGCAATTTTCATCACTCTGGATCACACCAATATGTATATTTCATTTCTATTCTAACAATTTAATTTATGCAACAGATCTAAACGTTAGCCTAGCCAACAATGGGGCTTTACCCTGTTACTTAGATAATTCACTTTCAAATGTGATATTGGGGTATGTTGATCTTAGATGTGTCCAAGAAAATTGGAGCAGTGCCATTTATGTCTGTGGTGTAATTGCCCATAAGTTTGGTCCTTCAGGTAACAAGTGGAAGAACTTCAATTTGAGATGGGAGAGTCATCAAGATTGAGGCAACTTAATCTGTACAAAAAGGAAGAAAGCATTTTTCTGAAGCATTGAAGTAAATTTGGAATTCATTTTGGTGGAACTTGCGAGCTCTGCCGAGGATGCTCCTCTTCTTTCTGGTGTTGTGTTTCCTGTGTGGTTTCAAACATTTCCCCCTAAGTGTGTGACACATGCCATCAGAAACTGGGTAACCTGAACTCTATTTCTTCTACCTGCAAAGATCTTTGGGACATTCAATTAATATATAACTATTGCATAAAAATATTTTATAATCAAAATACTCGAGATCCTTGAAGATGTAGTGACTTTTTAAAATTTCATCAACTTTCTCGTTCCTTTTTCCTCTTGCAATTGAAATAGGCGCTAACTCATTTATTTTAGTTAGCTTGAGGTCAAAAACTTAGGTTTGGTGTTCTAGATTTCTTCTTTTCTTTTAACCTACCATTTTTCATTATTAATAAAAACATTTTTAATTTTACCTTTTCACATTTTTGTTTCTAAATATAATTCATTTCTATTGTTGTTGGTCTTTAATTAATTTATTATCATTTTCCCATCATGTATGGAGTTATCTCCTACCTCAGACGCTCTGCATTACTTTTGCCCATTCTCTTCGTTTATATTACGGTAAGAACAAATTTTCTAAAGTGCAAAGTTTGTCATTTTCTCCCTGAAACATTCTCTCTGATTAAGCCATGATTTTTGCTAGAAATCTCCTCTGCATTTTCCTTCTATTAGAGGTAATAGTAGCCTAAAAATGTTCCTTTGGAAAGCAGTATATAAGTAGTAGTTGTGGATGTCTGCATCATTGTCTGTGCCAGTTTAGAAATACTTTTAAAGCCCATCTTCTTTACTACATTAAGACCAAGGTAAACCAGAGAATGCTATCAGACAGCCTCTCCTCAGCTCAGTGGTTTCTCTGCGAGACAACATCTGGCTTTAAGCCTCCCATTTTATTTCGGGCCCGCCATCACTTTTCTCTTGCTCAAGCAGTCCTAATTACTTGGGCTTTTGGCGACTGAATGGCCTTGGTTGCACCACGCTGCAATGGCTTTTCCAATTTCAGTTTCATCTCTCAAGGAGTGATCTTGGTGAAAACAAAAAAACAAAATGAACTTCGTTTTTAGCAATCCACAGGCCATAGACACATGACATCCTGATGTTGTGGATCCATGCAGACCAGTTTGTTTCTAATTTTAGTTACAACTAGACCAGAAAGATTCCTTTGAACCCTTTCTAGTGAGCAGACAGAGCAAGTACGTGATTTCTTGGGATATGCATTTTCTCTTTTGGTTCGCCCACATGCCAAAGTAAGACTGACTTTGTGGTAGCGAGTTTGAGAACCCGATTTTTGGAAAACAGATAAGCAGCACTCTTTTTGGCCTGATGTTTCTTACAGCAGACTGAGTGTCCCTCATGTATCCTAATATTTAAGCATTAATCATGTACCAATCCAGGCGTGCTCTCACTTAGGAGAAATTTCTCTGTCTAGGCCGCAGCAGTCCTTTGCCCTCTTGTCATGTTCAATCTTTACCACTGGAGCCCTTAATTCTGAAGTCTTTGAAATTTATAGGAATTGACAAAGATGCTGATAGTACTTCTCTTTGGGTAAGTAAGCTTGCCCATCAAAAGACCTGAAAAAATGGAAGTCACGTGACCTCATTGGAATGATTCATTGTCAAGGCAGAACCATTTTTAATTTCTGTACTCTTCAGCTGGACAAGACGCCACGACATCATGCTGTTCTTTATACTGTGAATTGCATAGTATTAATTAATTTTTTTAATATATATGTTATCTCTGATCGTAAAAATTTAAAGCCACAAGCACATTATGGAAAGAAAATTTTAAAACTGTAAGTCATCTTCAGGTGAAAATGAAAAATGAAAATAAAAATGATAAAATCTGAAAATTATTTTTAACTGAACTTTGAAATGGTCCAAGAAGGTTCTTTTATGTGTACTGTATCACAATTTAAAAAAAATGAAAATAACCAAGAATACTTGTGAGAAATAAAGTAATCTTGGAAATGTATACATCTAAAAATGTGAAAGTTTAACATAAGTATTTATAACAAGAAAACAAGAAAATAACAAAAGAAGGAAGAAATGTATAAATAATTAAATGATCAAATAAAAGTTATTTAAAACAAATAAAATGGAGGCCTAATTAAAAAAACCACAAACTAGTGGAAAAATAAACAAAACTAGGAAAAATAATTTGATTAGATTTTATTTTTAATCAAAAGTGCCACTTAGGCAAATACTTTTACCGTGGCTATTTTTAAAAAGCTAAATTTAAATGTTAAATATCTAGGTATACAACTAACATATTTTATTAAGAGAAACAGAATACTATAAAGATGAAGAAACAATCTAGAAACTCATATTTATAACTAGAAAAGAGAGGTTCTTTGACTTGCTGAAAGTATATTTCACAAAAATACTATGTTAGCTATTTAGTAGGGTTCCAGATGAAATTTTAAAAAAGCAATCCCTCAAAAAAAAATATGAGCAGGTTTTGGCTTTATCTATAATATTCAATTTGGATTTATTTTAGCAACTGAAAAAAACAAACTAATAAATCACCCCCTATATCTTACATTTGGAGAAAAGCTAAAAATATATTATTTCCACAAAAAAATTTGCAACTTTTTTCAAACTAAATCTTTAAAACAACACAGAAAAGCAACAGGAACAAGTCAAAAGGCAGAAATCGTCTGTGGTAACAAGTGTCGCGGGGAATCACAGAACTCTTCACACCCGTGGAGGACAGGTGACTTTACCTTCAGGAAACAAGTTCATTTCTTTCAGGCCCTAATATTCCTCAAATTTTAGCATATTAAATAATAGGACAAGGAACCATGTCAAAGCACAAATGTGTAAGAGAAAGGTAAGCCCGAAAAAACTGTTAGTACCTAATTTAGCTACTAGTTTACTAAGTGAAGTTCGTGACAATATTTAATTTGCTATTTTACCAAAGCTTGAGTGTCAATTAAATTTAACTCATAAAATGACTGGTACCCAAAATTTGTTTCCGTTGTGCCATCTGGGTGATTTGATGGAGGACTGCATTTGAGAGCCACTGCTCTGGCCGTTCTAGTCCAGGGACCTCCTTTCCTAAATTCTTAATCAGTGTTTTTTGTGTCAAACTAAAATACTTCTTTTCAGGGAAAACTTTGTGTGACTATTTAATCCACGTTTTGGGCAGACTTTTTCTGGTAAAAGGGTCCAGATGGCAAATGTTTTTTAGGCTTTATGAGGCTACGATATGGTCTATGTCTGCCCTCATATCTTCTTTGTTGTTGTTTTATAATCTCTCAAAAAGTTAGTCTAGATAGCTGGCTGTACCAAAGGCAGCCTCTTCCTCTGGATTTTTGGCCTGGAGGCTGTATGCTGATTCCGCTTGTAGAAGTTGTTAAATGGTAAACCTGACATAATGCACAGTCATAACTATTATAAGTCAATTGAATTAAAATAAAAAAAAAATGTGTATTTTAAGTGTTAGACTACAAACTATTAGACTAGCCGGAATAAGTGGGATCTCTTCAACTTTTATTCTAATTTCTGAGGCAGACTATATTAATATACATTGCCCAACTTGGACATTTTAAGTATGGAAAATGAGGAAACACTATTAACAGGTGTCAAAATGACCTAAAGACACCCTCCAAGACACGACCTGTTTGAAAAGTAATGGTATAAAGTCACTCAACAATGTCTTACCACAGAGCTTCTAAACACTGTAATTTATAGGAAAATAGTCTGTTGGGATAGATGAATAAGTGAAAATGAAAGAATAAAGAATGAAAACTAGATGGAATGAATGGAATACATAAAGAAATTATTGCTTCTTTTACCTGGCCCAAATAAGGAAGTCCTGTTTGTGAAGACCATATCCAATATTTTCAAATATAATCTTCACAACTGATGAGTCTATGATAGGTAGGTGTGTTTTATAAGTTGTACACCTGGTAGTCAATAAGAATTAAGGAAATTATCACCAAAACATATTCCAAGGAAAGCTACCAGAAAAACAAAACTCAGAGTTATCTTTCTTTCTTTACTCATTTTCCTTTTTCCTAGGTAGTTTTAATAACAGGTACTTCTTCAGATGAATCTGTTATTAAAGGAAATTAATAAAGGTGAAATAAATCCAAAAAGTTGTTTTGTTCCCAACTGATGTTCTTGCCTCTTTGTGGATATCCATTTCACTTACATTTCTTCCATGATGGATTTAAATGATCTCACTGGGTCTTCCCATTTCTTTCTTTTTTACTATCTGTCCTACTTAAAACCATACATTTTTAATCTATTTCATGGTAGAAATGTACACCTGTATGTTTTTACTGGAAAAAATTTTAAAAGGTTAGGAAAGTAACACAGAATTACCAAACTTGTTCACAGAAAAAAAGGTAACAGTGTCAGGCTTTTTCCTAAAGTTAATTTTTTTAACCTTTACCTGTCATTTATATTAACATAGTTGGGATCTATGTATGTTTATAAAATATTATACTCATTTGTATATGTAAATATATTATTGTTTTACTTGTGTAAGCATGATATTATGAGTTTCTAACCTGAATTTTTTAAAATTTCTTTTATTCATAATGTGCCATACAATTTTGGGTCATTTCTCCCTTCCCCCACCCCCTCCCTTTCCTCTGACCCTTCCCTTTCGCCTCTTGCCCTTCAACTACCATGCAGAATCTATTTTTGTCCTTATCTCTAATTTTGTTACCAGAGAGGGTATAAGCAATAATGAGGAGGAACCAAGGGCTAAAACTTAAATTTTTAATGGCTGCATAATATTTTCCTCCTAATGTTTATATATTATAACCCAGTAGCTATCCCTTTCAATATTTATTCTTTCATTATGATAACTAAATATATTTAGGTATCTGTTAAGTTTTTAATTGTTTAATTCATGTTAATTCCATATTTCATACATTGTTTGGGGCCATCTTTCCCCTCCCCTCTCTGCACCACATTCTAAAAGGTTTTTTAGTTCTTGAGAATTTCCTTGGATGTGTTAGATGTTGCTAACAATTCTGATATATTGATAAAAAGTACATCAGTACTTAATATCTCATGAACAAAATATTTAACTGAATATGCCATGCAATAATGTTAAAAAGCCTATTTAATAGAATGAAAGTACTCAGCACCCCCCCAAAAAATTAGTAATTAGAAATATCATTATACCATAACTGTGGGGAGAGACCTAAAATCAAGGAGATAGAGAAAAAATTCAAGTTAATTGAGAAAAGTATATATATATATTCCTGGTTCGTGGATAAGAGATATTTCATTGGATTTCTTCTCAGAGGTTTGGGTAAAACACATTCTTCCAATGCTATGCTATTCTTCTTGATCTGCATTCTAAAGTGGTCAAAAACAAAATTAAAATCAATAAGAGTACTTTCCGTTTTATATTTAATATATGGACTTTTGAGGGAAAAGGAAGATGCTGAACATATGAAACAGATGCTGGCATTAAAATCAATAGATTGGAATCTGATTTCCAGGTTAATCTTACTTATATTTAGTATTTGATTATTCCATCAGTAAGTATAATAAATGTTGGTTGAAAACAAGAAATCACTCGGATTTGATATGAATGATTAAGATACCCTGTGGAACAGTAAATATTACAATGTGTGGTTGGTCATTAGGTGGACCATTTAAATGGGCCTGGTGACATCCATTTGGGTCTTGGTGGCTTAAGGGAGTGTTACCTGGTTTCCCCTCTTCTGTGACAGAGCATGCACTTCAAGGGAGTTCTGATATCCTTCAAATTTAACTCCAAAAGTATCCATGGTAAAAGCTGGGAGACACAGCCATCTTTCCGCCAGCTGAAACAGAAAATGAAACGTTAAAAACAGTAAGGAGATTTAAACTGTTTAAAACACCTCAGAAAATAAAAGTTTTAGGTAAGGAAATAATGTAACGCTTGAAGAGCAACTTTGAGTACTGCTTTAACCAAAATTTTGGTTTTTTTATAAAACAATTTCAAACTGGTTTTTTTAATAATTTAAAATTTCAATTCATGTATTTATTATGGAGTTAATCCATTTGAATTTTTAGGCAAATTCTAATTCTTACATTACTGAGCTAACAAGAACACCTTAATGTGCCATTATTTGGTTAATCCACAGGATAAAGACATGTATTTTCCAGAGATTTCCAAGATGGCAACTAGAGGTTTAGGAAGCAGAAAGCGTGCCTCCTAAAGTAAAAAAATTTGGAGAGAATGCTGGAGATACACAATTACAGGAAAAAACCACCAGAAGAGGCAAACAACTTTGACCCCTCCACACCCTTCCTGCGGTGCACGAGATCTCCACTTTAACGTGTAAACAGAGAAACCAGGAGGGGCCTCCGGGCTGGGCCAGATGCCTGTGCCCAGATGGCTTTGGGAAGAATGGCACAAGGTGAGCTAAGCAGCACGTGGGGTATCCCACAGACAATCCTGGGCAGATCAGCATAGCCCCTGGACAGACCAGACCCCCACCAGGAAAAAAGAAAAAAACTGAATAATAAGCAATAAAACAAAAAAGACATGTAGCAAAGAGGGTGGGGTGCCTGAGCAAAGGGGGGGAGGGGAATCCCTCATGGAACTGTAATGAAACAAGGCAGGAGCAGGCCGGCACACCCACAACCAGGAGCGGGAAAGCTTGTAAAAGTGGCAGGTGGGAGGAAAACTCCACAGGAGAGGGGAGGAAGACCCACTTCCCACGTGAACTGTAAATAAACATGCAGGCCTGAGAAAGCAGGTGCAGTGTCACTCCCCAGTGTGCTTGGAAAGGGGAATTGTAGCAGTGGTGGTCAACCCAGGAGAACTCTAAGTAAACAAAGCCTGAGGGCCAGGTGAGTGTTTAAGCTCACTCCTGAGATCTGCATAATAAAGGCCTCCAGCAACAGCAGGAAGACAGCAGAGGCAGGTGAGCTGTAGCCTCAGATAGCCATTCACAGAACTGTCTCCAGACTCCTTTTTTTCTCTCCTCTTTTGATGAGACAACAACCGAACTACACCTGCATGCTGAAAAACTTACTGAAACTGTATTGCATTTGAACTTGGGACACTTTATGGCGTTTTTTCTGTTTTCTGTTTTGTTTTTTTTCCCTTTAATGAGACAATGACAGATCTACTTCTAAGACACCATCTCCAGGATTGGAGGCTGAGGGACTAACACCAAAATTATTAAGACTGAAACTTTATTGCATTTGAACTTGGAGATTTTTTTTTTCAATTCTCTCTGTCTCTCTAATGCCTGTTTAGCTTACTGTTGATTAGTACATCTCCCTGTATATCTTTGAAACTTTTGTTTGTTTGTTTTTTTTTACTTTTGTTTGTTTCTTTGTTTTCCTTTTTTTTAACTTCTTTTGCTTTCCATCTCCTCTCACCCTTCCATTCTAAATATCACCATTGTTATTATTACAAGCTAGAAAATACTTAATTGCACACAGTACAGGACAAAACAACACAAGGGCAATGATGGGAAGACAGAAAAACAGGGAAACCAGTTTCCCACAGCAAAAAATTAGTACAGGAACCAGAGGGGAATGAAGAAAACAGATACTCAGATCCAGACTCCAACAAAATGAAGATAAACTATGCCAAAGAACCCAATGAAGCCACAAGAATAATTTAAAAGAAGAAACTACAGGTAATCAATGAGAATTTTATAGAGATGATACTGGATATGGTCAACCAAAATGTACAGGAGACACTCAAGAAATTCCAAGACAACAAAAATAGAGAATTTGAAAAAGCAAAAGAAGAAATAAAGGAAACCATAGAAGCACTGTATAAACACCAAAGTGAAACAAGAAACATAATAAAGAGATAAATGAACTCAGGACAAAAATAGACAACATTAAAGAGGAAAACAGGATATGGAAAACCTCAGAAAAAAGAATGAAACAGAACTGCAAAACAAAATGGAAGGCCAATCCAGCAGAATAGAACAAAGAGACACAGAATCTCAGAATTGAAGATGAAATGGTAATTAAAGGAAAAACAAAGAACTATTAATTAAACAACTCAAGACCTGTGAAAAGAAAATGCAAGAACTCACTGACTCCATCAAAAGACCAAACTTGAGAATCATGGGCATCGAAGAAGGAGAAGAGGTGCAAGCAAGGGAATGCGTAATATATTCAACAAAATAATAACAGAAAATTTCCCAAATCTAGAGAAATATTCCCATACAGATGCAAAGAGGCCTCAGGAACAAACAGACCAGACCAAAATAGAACTACCCATGACATATTATCATTAAAACAACAACAAATTCAGAAACTAGAAAGAATATTGAAGGCTGTAAGAGAGAAAAAACAAATAACATACAAAGGTAAACCCATCAAAATCACAGCAGACTTCTCAACAGAAACATTAAAAGCAAGAAGAGCTTGGGGTGAGATCTTCCCAGCACTGAATGAAAATAACTTCAACCCTAGGATACTCTACCCAGCAAAACTATCATTCAAAATAGATGGAGCAATAAAAGTCTTCCATGATAAGCAGAAACTAAAACAATATGTGACCACAAAGCCACCACTACAAAAGATTCTTCAAGGGATTCTGCACACAGAAAGTGAAACCCAACATAACCATGAAAGGGCAAGCAGCACCAAACTACAGGAAAAGAAAAAGCAAGAAAGTAGAGAATAACCTCAACGTAGGTATACACAATCAAACAACTAAGACAACTAAATGACAGGAATCACCACATACCTATCAGTACTAACACTTAATGTTAATGGACTTGATTCACCTATCAAAAGGCACTGTTTGATGAGCTGGATTAAAAAGGAAGATCCAACAATTTGTTGCTTACAGGAGACCCATCTCACTGACAGAAATAAGCATAGGCTTAGGATGAAAGGCTGGAAGAAGATTTACCAAGCCAATGGCCCCTGAAAACAGGCAGGAGTAGCAATACTTATCTCTGACAAAGTAGACTCAAACCTACATTGATCAAATGAGATAAAGAAGGACATTCCATACTAATAAAAGGGGAAATAGACCAAAAGGAAATAACAATTATCAACCTATATGTACCCAATGTCAACGCACCCAATTTCATCAAACATACCCTGAAGGACCGAAAAGCATATATTAACTCCAACACAGTGGTTGTGGGAGACTTTAACACCCCATTATCATCAATAGATAGGTCATCCAAACAAAAAATCAATAAAAAATTCCAAGATCTAAAATATACAATAGATCAAATGGACCTACTTGATGTCTACAGAACATTTCATCCAACTTCTACACAATATACATTCTTCTCAGCAGCCCATGGAACCTTCTCCAAAATAGATCATATCCTAGGGCACAAAGCAAGCCTCAGCAAATATAAGAAAATAGAAATTATACTGTGCATACTATCTGATCACAATGCAATAAAAGTAGAACTCAACAACAAAAGTAAAGACAAAAAACATGCAAACAGCTGGAAACTGAATAACTCATTACTTAATGAACAATGGGTCATTGATGAAATAAAAGAGGAAATTAAAAAGTTCCTGGAAGTCAATGAAAATGAAAACACAACCTACCGGAACCTATGGGACACAGCAAAGGCAGTCCTGAGAGGAAAGTTTATAGCCATGAGTGCATATATTAAAAAGACTGAAAGATCCCAAATCAATGACCTAATGATACATCTCAAACTCCTAGAAAATAAAGAACAAGCAAATCCCAAAACAAATAGAAGGAGAGAAATAATAAATAAGAGCTGAAATCAATGAAATAGAAACCAAAAAAACCATACAAAGAATTAATGAAACAAAAAGTTGGTTCTTTGAAAAAAATAAACAAGATCGACAGACCCCTGGCAAACCTGACTAAAATGAGGAGAGAAAAAACCCAAATTAGTAGAATCAGGAATGCAAAAGGGGAGATAACAACAAACACCATGGAAGTCCAGGAAATCATCAGAGACTACTTTGAGAACCTATATTCAAATAAATTTGAAAATCTTAAAGAAATGGACAGATTTCTAGATACATATGATCATCCAAAACTGAACCAAGAGGATTTAATCACCTGAATAGATCTATACACAAAATGAAATTGAAGCAGCAATCAAGAGTCTCCCAAAAAGAAAAGTCCAGGACCTGATGGATTCTCTGCTGAATTCTATCAGACCTTTAAAGAAGAACTGATACCAACCCTCCTTAAACTGTTCCATGAAATAGAAAGGGAAGGAAAACTGCCAAACACATTTTATGAAGCCAGTATTACACTTATCCCAAAACCAGGCAAAGACACCTCCAAAAAGGAGAACTATAGGCCAAACTCCTTAATGAACATTGATGCAAAATCCTCAACAAAATAATGGCAAACCGAATTCAACACACATCAAAAAGATTCATCACGACCAAGTAGGCTTCATCCCAGGAATGCAGGGGTGGTTCAACATACAAAATCAATAAACGTAATAAACCACATTAACAGAAGCAAAGACAAAAACCACTTGATCATCTCAATAGATGCAGAAAAAGCCTTTGATAAGATCCAACACCATTTCATGATAAAAGCTCTAAGAAAACTAGGAATAGAAGGAAAGTACCTCAACATTATAAAAATTATATGACAAACCTACAGCCAGCATTATACTTAATGGAAAAACTGAAACCATTCCCTCTAAAATCAGGAACCAGACAAGGATGCCCACTATCTCCACTCCTATTCAACATAGTACTGGAATTCCTAGCCAGAGCAATTAGGCAAGAAGAAGGAATAAAAGGAATACAAATAGGTAAAGAAACTGTCAAAATATCCCTATTTGCAGACGAATGATCCTATACCTTAAAGACCCAAAAAACTCTACTCAGAAGC